TATATATACAAACTGGCAAATGCATATGTATTCACCCCCATTTCTATGATGCCCCTAAAACGTTCTGGTACAACCAATCACCTTGAGAAGTCACTTGCTTAGTGAAGTGAAATCCACCTGTGTGCAATCTAAGTGTCACAGGATGTAGCAGTATATACACCTTTTCTGAAAGGCCCCAGAGTCAGTAACACCATTAAGAGAGAGGCATCACTAACAAACACCACCACAAAGACCAATGAGTTTTCCTAACAAGTCAGGGACAAAGTTGTCAAGAAGAAATGTCATTAAATTTAGATGGTATTATGGAAATAATAACAATCGAAATAATAAATAAGAATTCTACTAATATAAGCTGTGTACTGTATATCGATCACCATGATCAAATACAGAGACATTCACTGATAAAATCGTGGAGTTATTGGAAAATTGTTCTAACAAAACAGTTTTTTTTTTTTTGTGGAGACAATAATATTGACCTGGGAAATAAAAAAGATTCAAATACTGTAATATTGGTACATTTATAAACTCAATGCACAGTTTTAATTTTTATCCATTAATAACACAACCTACAAGAATCACAACCCACAGCTCTACAATAATTGATAACATTTTCACAAATATAACAAGTGGTGAAGTAAAAGATGGTATTTTGATGACTGATGTAAGTGATCATTTACCAAGTTTTCACAATTCATAAAAATGATCAATACAGTACAAAAGTAGTTACAATTAAGAAAAACACAATAAACAGATAAAAAAAACTCAGGAAAAATTAAAGAACGATTTGGGAAAACAAAACTGGAAAGACGTGAATGTTGAAGATGTGAACAAAGCATATGATGTATTTATGAACATTTTGAGAGCTCTGTATGAAAGGAATTGTGTGCAAAACAAATATACAAAAAGAAATATTGTTGACAAACCTTGTATGACTAAAGGGTTGAGAAATGACATTTTTGAAAATATAATTACTTGTATTCATGATTCCTGAAATTAAGAACAAAAGAGTCAGAATAGAAATACAAGAGGTATAAAAACAAGTTGGTTTGGATTATAAGAAAGCATAAGAAGGAATATTACAGTGATTTATTAAGTAAAAGTAAAAGTGAAATGAAAGTGACATGGCGAATAATGAACAGTGTCTTAAAGAGCCACAAAACAAGATCAGACATTTCACATTTTGTAAAAGATGGAATGAGATGAATGAATGAATGAATGAATGAATGAATGAATGAATGAATGAATGAATGACTGAATGAATGAATGAATGAATGAATGAATGAATGAATGAATGAATGAATGAATGAATGAAATTGCAAATAGATTTAATAATTATTTTGTGAACATTGGCCCGAGTCTTGCAGCTAAAATTCCCAGAGTATAATAATGTGTATTACACAGTTACAAGTTGTACCAGTATTTTCCTTGATGTAACTGACAAAGAAGAAATCATGAATATTGTTAAAAATCTTGCAGACAAAAGATCAAAAGACTGGGTGAACGTGGACATGATGTTTGTAAAGGAAATAATGAATTATGTTATTGAACATTTTACATATATCTGTAATTTATCATTTTCAACTGGAATATTTCCAGACAACATGAAAATTGCCAAATTAATTCCTCTTTTTAAGAATGGTGAGAGATGTATGTTCAACAATTACAGACCACTATCTTTGTTACCACAGTTTTCAAAGATTTTAGAGAAGTTATTTGTGACAAGATCAGATCAATTTATCCATCCATCCATCCATCCATTTTCTTTACACTCTTCTTCCTTTTCAGGGTTGCGTGGGTCACTGGTGCCCATATCCAGCAGTCACAGTGCGAGGGGCGGGGTACACCCTGGACAGGTCGCAAGTCTCTCACAGGACCCAGATCAATTTTTTGATAAACAAAATATTTTAAGTAACAGTCAGTATGGGTTTAGAGCTATTAATTCCACATCAATGGCTCTCTAGTAGAAGAAGTAACAACTACTTTGATCATAAACAATACTGTGCTAGTATTTATGTTGACTTGAAGAAAGCTTTTGACACCACTGATCACAATATTCTTTTTGAAAAATTGAACAAATATGGTATTAGAGGACCAGCACCACAGCGAGTATCTAGCTATTTAAAGTATAGGAAACAGTTTGTACAAAGAAATGATACAAGATCTGAATTGGGTAATATCACAAGTGGAGTGCCTCAAGGTTCTGTACTTAGGCCAAAGTTATTCATTTTATATGTGAATGATTTAGTAAATGTGTCAGGGTTGTTCAAACGTGTTTTATTTGCAGATGACACTACATTTTTTAGTTTTGGTAAAGATATAGAATGGATGTTGGTAATGATGCAAACAGAATTTGCTAAAATACAAACCTGGTTTAAACTTAATAAATTATTATTAAATTTACATAAGACTGATTATATGATATTTAGTAATAGAAAGAAAACTGTCGAAGTTCCATTTAGAGGCACGGTCCTCTCACACTTTCTATTCAGTCTGTACTTGTCAGACTTCAGGTACAACTCGGACCTCTGCCACCTTCAGAAGTTCTCGGATGATACGGCCATCATTGGATGCATATTAGACGGGAATGATGAGGAATACAGGGGGGTCATCAGTGACTTTGTTGGCTGGTGTGAGACGAATGCTCTCCAAATCAATGCCAGCATGACGAAGGAGATGGTCATATAGACCTCAGGAGGAAGCCACCCCCTACAGCACCGGTGAACATCCAGGGAAAAGACATTGAGACAGTGGACTCTTACAAATACCTGGGTGTTCACCTCAACAACAAACTGGACTGGACTATGAACACAGACGCCCTGTATAAGAAGGGTCAGAGTCGACTCCACCTGCTGAGGAGACTGAGGTCCTTCAGTGTCTGCAGGACTCTGTTAAAGACGTTCTAGGACACGGTGGTAGCATCTGCCTTTTTCTATGGAGTGGTTTGCTGGGGGGCTGGATGTACTGAAAGGGACAGGAATAGGATGGACAAACTGATACGGAGGTCAAGCTCTGTGCTGGGATGTCCCCTGGAGCCTGTGGTTGTGGTGGGTGAGAGGAGGATGTTGGCAAAACTGACAGCCATCATAGACAACCCCCACCACCCTCTGCAAGAAACCGTGGGGGGGCTGAGCAGCTCCTTCAGTCAGAGACTTAAACATCCTCGCTGCAGGAGGGAGCACTTCCGTAGGTCATTCATTCCAGCTGCAGTTAGACTGTATAACACATCATGATGTTATCAGTCACTTGGACAATTCACCTACAGTGTCATCACTAATATGCACCTTCATATACATTCATTTATGTACTCTACTAGGTATATGTACATTGTTATATGTCACAAGTATAGTGTTTTTGTTTTTCTTTTACTTATCTTTCTTTATTCTATCTCACCCTGTCCTGTTTTGAGCTGCTGTAATGTGCAAATTTCCCCACTGTGGGATCAATAAAGTTTTATCTTATCTTATCTCATCTTATCTTATCTTATCTTATCTTAGAGTTGATGGTATTGAGATCTG